TAGGTATGATGGCCAATGGCGATTCTTTTCCGTCTCTACGATGCTATAATACAGTATTTCGTCTGTTTTTTCAAAATAATTCAGTAGAATACTATAAATTCTTAACTACTTAATTAATTAAAAATTATACTAATGAGGAGTAATGTCCTTGCCAGTTGATGCGTATTTGTTTTTTTAAATATATCATTTGTGATTTGTCTATTAAATTTAAAAATAACTAAATAGATAGGTATGTTAAAAGATCACATTAAAACTAAAGAAAAAAAATCCATCTTAAAATGTAGTAATAAGTGAGATGAAAACAGTGATATTATTTAAAAATGTTTACAATTATTTAAAAAGTGATAGTTATTTGAAATTTATTATAGTATATGAGGTGAGATATTGCTAACTTTTATTTAGCATGAGTTGTAATATTTACATAATAACTAATGACGTATATTATAATTAGGGCCCGGAACTTGTTGGTTTAAAAATATGTGAAAAATGCACGAAAAAAAATGCATAAAATGGCATAAAAATATTTAAAAATGATATTAAAAATGTATATTTTACTGTAAAAATTGATAAATGGGTATTGTTTTGATACAAAAATTAAAATATTAAAATTATTTTTATTTAACTAAATAAAACTATATATTAAAATATATATATATATATAAAATACTACTATTTCGATTATTCGGTATCATTAACCGCGATAACCGATTTTAAGCACATAGGTGTCCCGGGCCTAAAATAATATCTGCCTACAATTTATTTAAAACAAGCTATTAAAAACTGCATGTGTTACAATAAAATGTAACTTTCAACAAGAAAAATGCAAATATTTGTAAAAAAAAGTACAAAAATGAATAAAATGCACCAAAAATACTAAAAAATAACCGTAAAACATAAAATTCCCTAAAAATGCAAATTAAAATTGTACCATTAAATTCTATACTTTATGAATCAAATTTCTGTATAGACATGCATTAAATGTGAGCGTTAGAAAAAAAGATGCAAATGCATCAAGTTCCGGGCCTTATTTATAATAATATATGAAGTAAAAGGTGGCGACGAAATATTACGTGTATTTTTCAAATGCCAGTCATTAGCTAACAAATGGTCATTGGTAGTTGTTAGTACCAACGGTTTTAAATTATAAGCAACGGGCTTTATTTTTATTTAAAAATATTCGTGGATACTAAAGAAACTTTTAAAATATTATATTATTATATTTTATACACATAATAATGTTTTAAATTCAATTCAATTAATCGATTTAACTATTACAATAATGAAACAAATTATTTTAATAGCAATATAAGTATTTCATAAAATATACTTATGCCAGGTTGTATGAAGAATTGATTAATTGATGGACTAACTGTGGACTACTAAATCATGATTAAGAACCGTTAGCTCACTATTTATTTATTAAATTTTAAGTGATTGTTCATGCAACCTGGCATTATTGATAAAGGTTAACAGACCGTCTTTGCTTAGAATAATTTTTTGTGTGGGAAGATTTATCATTAAATTCAAATTTAACTGATATTTTACAGTGTCTTACTCAATGACTTGTTAACTTCGACATCTATACTACATAAATGCCATATTCATATACATATAACTATATACACCTACTTTTTGATTATTTACTTTATTATAATATTTTATATAAAAGAAAAAAAATTGTTAATTGTATAGTATTTTGTATGATTAATTTGACCTTTTACATAAAAACTATTTAGAATCTGTCATCTAAATACCTTAATTTTATAAAAAAAAAAAAGGTTTTCAATCGAACATTTTGATAATTATTAAAATTAAATTCTTGTTTTGAGTAAAAATCTTATATTTATTAGGATACAAATAACATAACTATAAATAAATTAAGTAATTTATTTCTTGTCTTATTATGATTGAATGCAATATTACATTAAAATGTTTCACTGATGGATAATTATATATACATAAATTATAGGAGTCACAACAATAGAATGGAATGTGTTTTTTCTTTCTTCGTATCTTAATTCGCAAACTTTTACTAAATAATTAATATTCGTATTTCTAAAAATGTTAATATTGATGTCTAAAGTGTTATATTGTCACTGAAGTTTTTCATCGCTATAGAGTTGAGATAAAAATATTCTTTTATTACGGTTTCTTGAAGATATAATATATATTATATATATATACAATTATTACTATAGTATATATTATTTATATGTATATTGTAAGTAAGTACCATACATTCATCAACATTATATATACATTTATGTCAATGGCATTGGAAATCGTGGTCTTTCATTTATATTATAAAAGTTTATCAAGGTTTTTATATAACTTAGTAAAAAACAAGAATATGTCTAGACCCTTGCCACTAAACTAAATTTAATATGATTTAATAATAAAATAATATGACATACGTGTTAAATATACTTTCAAATTATTAATTAATTTTTTTTTTGTTTTACGTACGATTTGAATTATTTTCTAATAATTGAATGAATTATAATATATTTTAATATATAATATAATACATTATATTATTATTATCTATTTTAAAGAAAAAAACTTATCTATAAATATTTCCATACTGTGTGAAATTTGAATTTATAAATGATAACGTAAAAAAAGTGATACATAAAAGATATTTGAATTTATATTGTACAACAAGCTTATGAATATTTTACTTTTTTCTACCTACTCATTTATTTATAGGTCTATATTTCTAACCTTTTCTGATACAAATGCGTAACTTTTAAATTAACTGGTAAGAAAATACATTCAAAAACTAATGTAATAATTTTTGTACGACTAATTAAGAACATTTTAGGTGCTTATATTGCTGACCTTTTCGATAGGAGTAACTTTTAATTTTGTTGATAAAAAAAAAAATAATAGATTTAGAAATTAATTACTATGTCAAATGTATACATCAAATTAAAAACATTTTAGAAATTCTCTTTATCCTATTTTCACCTCATTGTAAAACTTCTAATCAAAGTCAAGAATAGAGTACAAAAATATTGATTATAACATAGAGTAGTCTATTCTATCATAAATGATAAAACTAATTGAGATTAACCACGTTTTTAACAGTTGAATTTAAATAGATTTTTTATTTTGAAATTGGACAATTGAACTCTGTAATTTATCACTATTTTAAAATAGTTATATAGGTATGTTATCGTTAGTAATCGCTTTGAAATTAATATGATAGTTGATAACACAACTGTCGTAATTGCTTCTATTGTTCACCCCAAACAATGATGATGTATTATTTGAACCGCGTCGCATAAAACCGTGATGACGATAAAAAACGAGTATTTTTTAATATTTACAGCTATGAAACGTTTTTAGTTTTTAAAAAATATGTACTTCCTATCTACGTGATGTATGAAACTGGTTGCTACAATAATAAGGGTCTATAATACCAGTGGTGTCCAACCTTTTGTGAAGACTGACCCACATCATATGAGTAGAAGTTGTTATAGGGCTCATACTTTTTAATAATAATACGTACACTATTTTATTTTTATTAGTTGATAAATGACACGGGATCAATGCCGTGGACATATCTTCAAAATAATAAAATATTTTTTCAAAATTGGCTCGGGTTGATCCACTAATCACCTGTATAATCAATGTGCTCCTGTGCTATTATACTAAGATAAAACACTATTAAAGTTTATTTGATGCTTAATATTTTGTACAATATCTTCCATGGGCCTTGGATTGAACGCCTCTGGTCTATATCATATACTTACAAAGAAATTAGGTAATTGTTAACAGAGAAAAAGGTCTAAGGACCAAATTTGTTAGAATACAATACTATATAACCTATTTGACAATTTATACTAATTAATATCGAGAAAGAGAAAGAAGTTTAATTATAAATATAACAACATTTAAGAAAAAAGATTGCGTACACTGTAGGCCTTATCTTATGCATAGATATTTGACTATCATTTTCTAACAATGTTTGCTCTTGACAAACTATTGAAGGAATGGAGGACGTGCAGTTTATTTATTAATATGCGTATAACCTATAGTATAACACAATAATTATACTAATTATTACAAGTGTATTAAAGTCTTGTAAATCAAAAAATAAATTGGTGTATACGTAACATGTTTGGTTATTAACGCAAGTATACAGATTGTTTCTTGACTATGATCGTAGGTACTATATTATAGTTAAACCAACTACTTAAAATTGATAATTTAACTTACAACATTCAATATTCAAAAATGTTATTTAAAAAAAATTTATTATCGGAGATAAAACGATTAGACTAGATTATTATCTTTACGTTCTTTGCTATACTGTTTTTAAACAAGTACAGTTAATATTAGATATCGTAATTTTTATTTTTGTTTAGATACTTAGTTCTGTAGTATTAGGTACATTTTAATGTATTACCCTTCAATTAATTTTTTTTATTACACTAGATTACGCATGTTTAAATAAAAGCGATTTGATATATTTTTCTCTTAAGTTTAGGTACATCATACATGTAGAACATATATCACTACAAGGCAGCAGAATATATTATAATATTACTACATTTTTATTCAGGGCCGGATTAAGAAAAAATTCGCCTCAAGGCAATGGTTTTACTTGCACTCCTATAGCCCTGGCCGTATATCATTTGCGCATCGTCTGTTTACCTGAGCGAAAATATCGTACATCGTTTGCGCATCGGCGGAAAATTATCGTTTGCGCATCGTCTGTTTACCTGCACCAAATTATCGTATATCATATGCGCATCAAAATTCTAAACAATAGAAGGGTATACAAATGTACCTACACACATTTAATATTATATAGATAATGATAAATTTTAATATATATAGGCACAAGTTTTTATTCAATAAGCATTACAATTTTATAAATTATAATACAAATATACATATAGTTTGAGAAAAAATTATTTAAAAATAAATTGTATTCAATTAAATTAAAAAATAAAATAAATAAATTGTTGAAAAACTCAGTTGAATAATAATATTATAAATAAATACTTGGTATATTGTAATGTCCCATTATTCTTACAAAATGAAACCTGCTTATTTCACCGGTAGTATACTTAAGCCAATGTTTTTGAATATATTCAAGTTTTTGACGTTCAGGAGCCCGTTGTAAATGATTGATACCACCAGAAATATCTTTAATTTTAACATACGTCTCTGTCTGTATTTCCTTCAACGTTTCTATTACCTAAGTATATAAAACAAAATATAATAATTTATTAAATTAATAATTTATAAAAATGTCATACTTTCCAAATTGAAGGATGAGTACTGTAAAATTGTGCATTATAATGCGAATGAAATGCCTCAGGTCCATTGGTAGTTTTAGGTAAAGTTGATGGAATTTCTGCCCACATCTCTGGTGGAAATAAACAATTTTCTTGAATATAATTGTCATATATGTAATCACTAAAATGTAATACGTCACTATTTGGAGCGATTTCGATCAACTCACAAAACTGATCAGAAACTTCTTCAGGGGAAATAAAAGATAGACCAAAGAAATATTTAATCCATTTTCCGACTTCAGTATTAGCTTTATATTCATTTCTTAGAGCTGGGAAATCTTGATTAAGCTTTCTATACCAAGCCTGTCCTAGATGGAATCGGCAACCATATATATCACATAGTGGAAAACAGTGCTGAATTGCTAAATGTGCACTCTTTTCGAAATCCACTCTGATGGATTTTGGTTCGAATACTAAGTTATTCGAATTACATAAATTGATTAAAGATTGCCACATTTCAATATAATCGTTTGTTGTTTTTCCGGTTAAAAAATAATAAGCTAAGGGTAAGTATAGCCCGTTTTTATAAATATGGATCGTGTACAGTTGATAAAAATATCTTGGACAATATCTGAAGGTTCCGTCTGCTAGAATGAGTTCTGAATTGTCACATAAAGTTTTTAAATTGGTTTTACAAGTTAAAGATACAACTTTATTATCATTGATATAAAGAAATTGTTCTTTTTTAAAAGTTAAAATAGTTTCCTGAGAAATTAATTGCGAAATAGCTTCATCATATGATTTCGGCAATACTGGTAAAACCTTCCTTCGTTTTCTATATATATGTTGTCTGTAGTTGGAAATATCATTAAGCGTCACATGATCTGCTTCGGATATTGCTTTCCGTATAATTTTGTTAGGTCTTGTTGATATTTCTTCAGTAGCTTTCCTCTTTACGGTGTTTTTAATCTGAAAAAAATTAATTAATTATATAAATTAGATTATTTTAACAACATTTCATGTATACTATATATTATTATGAATATGTTATTTCCAATTTCTGATTAATTTATAATTCTTATTTTGACTTACTTCGTGTTTTTCTATCTCCGAATCCGTCAATTGGAGATGGCGTGTGTGTTCTCCGCGTATTTCTAACACCGTACTTCGGTGTTCATCAATTTTTATTGAGGCATAGCAATCTTTTTTTGGACACATAAATATAATCTCACCATTTTTCAGAATTTTCCTTTCTGTATAAAAATACTTTTGGAAAATGGCTGCAGCTTTTCCACGATTTGAATTAACGAATTTTAATTGATTCATTTTTACATGTACTCAAAAGTCAAAAAAAATATTGTATAATATTATAATGTACCGATTACCGAACCGTTTACGTCTCGTGTGTCACGCGTACGTCTCGACAGCGTCTAACGAGTGTTACTATCCAGTAATCTACTATCTTTTTTTTTTTTTTTTTTGAGGCATCGACGACGCTGCCGGAACTTGATATACTTATGCGATAAAAATGGATAATAAAATGGAAACCCGTACACTTTAGTTGTTAATCTCATGCTATATCGTATTATTATATTTATATTATATATATTTTAAAACAAAAATACCTATACAATATTTGAAAATAAGTTAGATATTTTCGCACAGGTAAACAGACGATGCGCAAATGATATACGGCCGCGGGTATACACCTTTTTTTTCAGTTCTATTGTTAAATAATATTGATGCGCAAATGATGTACGACCTTTTAAACGATCGATGCGCAAACGATGTATAACCCAAAAATAAACGATGCGCAACTGTCTTACAAAAAAGGTCAAAAATAACAATAGTGATGCGCAAACGACAACCGGCGATAGCCCTATACCCTAAAATTTTATTGTGCTCTGCCCAATAATCTTTGACGCTCATATCCCATATTATAAAAACCATTGTACCTGTATATTATACAATTTACAAATATTGCAATAGGTATTATAATAATATATGAAATATACATTACCTAGTTATAACAATTATATTAAAGGGAATAATAGTAAGAATATCTAAAATAACTAATAAGATAAAATATTATGGAGCATTTATTTGTGTTTAAATTTGATATTTTGATAATGTATTTAAAAAATTAACCTGTAAACATTTTTTTACAACAAGATTACCAATTAAATTTATAAAATTTATATTATTCAACATATTATTTTCAATGTTTAATAGACCTAAAACATGATTGCTGAGAGATGAGAGTAGTAGATCTTAATAGTTCTTTACTCTTTAAGAACTGGAAATGATCTCTCACTCGAATAATTTGTTAATGCAGCTGAAAGATATATTCTAAAAACTTATGTAAATTAGGGAAAAACTCATCAAAATTATTAATCTTAATAAATAAATACATATGTAGCACTGAGTGATTTTCAGTATTTTTAAATTCTATCTCCTTTAATTAAAGGGTTAAAAAATGGTCGCATTCATTTGTTGAAATTGAGTCATTTTCAAAATCCCAAACAAACCTAAATTAAAAATGAATAATGCATAACAATTAACAATATTGATAATTATTCATTATAAATTTGTAAGAAATTTAAAATATGAAATTACTCTATTTTTAGCTACAACATTGCAAGTGTCTCTGATATCTTGAGTGTTTGGTAGAATGTAGATTAAACAATATTGGAATTCGGGTTACAGACTACGAGCGCATGTAAATTCCACCGATTGCGACCTTTATGGATCTTTTTTCATATAAATTCCACTAGTACAATTTTTTCACCCGAGAAAAAAATGTGAATTCCATTGGTATTTTTTTATTTTTATTTATATATTTGGGATTTACCCTTTTACATTTGTGATATTAATTAATATTACGTTATAAGTATGATATAAAATTATTATTAAACCACAATAACTATAAAATAATACAGTAGAATCTCTCTAATCTGCCACCTTCGGTACTGGGGGTGTGGTCGGAACGAGAAGAAGGTCGGATTATCAGAAATTTATTATATTTTACATTACTTAGAAAAAAAAGTCAGTTATAGATTTTAGTTTAGCAAATGACATTCTAGACTTATCTGTAATATTCCAAAATACGCACACCGATAGAAACGATACGAGAGAGGTCGGAGTACTAAAGCGGACAAGCTATAAGAGAAATATTAAACTAGCAATTAATTTTATATAATATGGTGGGATCAACCGGAGCGGCGGACCAGCCGAGGGCGGATTAGAGGGGTTCTACTTTAGTAAGCAATTATAATAATAAGTTACAATAGAAAATAGGTATATAATTTATGTATAGATTTCTTATTTATACATAAGTAATATATTTAAAATTTAGATACTTATATCAAAAATATGTAATAATTAATAATGATCACTTGTTAGTAGTTACTTATTTTACCATCGGTGGAGTTAACATGTTTTCAGGTCAAAAACCAGTGGAATTTACATGTTTTAAATTAAACCCAAAAATCGATTACCTATAAATCGGCAAAATTATTGCTAAGGCTACAGCCGTTGCTGCATAAAATATACCTAAATTATTTATAAATTTTAATTTTATACACTAATCTGGAAATAATATACTATAATAATAATGTTATCTTGTTTGATCATTATTTTAATTTATAATAACTCACGATCAACAATGCCGGCTAATAATTTTTGGAAATAAACGATTTTAAACCGTGTTGTTAATTCACAAAGCTTAAGTACACAATAAATGGAAAATACAGATAAAAATAAACCAATTATTATTTATCTCAATTCAAACAAAACAAAAATATTAAAGCAATCAAGAATTTTTTAGTTAATTTTCAATAAAATTCAATACAAAATCTGTCGAAAAAAAAACAAATAAATAAAAATATGACTTGGCATCAGATTCTACTTTGCGCCCTTTAAAATTTAGCACTCTGGGTAGTTGCTTATGTATTGTTTATATGTTAATGTTAATCCGGCCCTGTTTTTATTTAATATATATAATATATATGTATAATAAATTGGTAGATATGAATTTATTACTTATATTAGAGTATATTCTATAGTTAGTATAGTTTTTAATTTTCTGTGAAGTATGTGTATAAATAATTTTCCTCCGGGTGTATTTATTTATATTGTGTATGATACCTTCTGATATATGTTTTTAGTCATTACTTATTAGCTTCTTATAATAATATTTTTAATTCCAATTATTAACCATTAATACCATAGTATTTAATGTTTTGTTTGTATAGTGATAAAGGTAGTGTAATTTATTGTAATTGATGATAGATAGTTGGATTTTAGATTTATGTGAAAACTAAACCTGTATTATAGGTTTAAATAAATTATCGTTATCACAGCTATTTTACGACAAATATTCATCTCATACACATAATAATTAATATTGTAGAATTAATATTGAGGTACGTACTTTTATCACGGATAGAGTTATGATAAAGTATATTATATTATGTTTTGAGCATAGATTATTAAATAAGGTATATGTCTATTGTTTGTTTATTTATATTTTCTTTATGATATTTATGATATCTGGAGCTGTTAAACCTTATTAGTTATTACTTATTTTTAACCATAGTCGTTGTAAAATTATTTTAAATTTAAAATAGTTGTTTTAGAATTTTATGGATAATTATAATTTTAAACTTTTATCCTAAGGTTTCTTATATAATCATACATCTGAACAATTTTTACTGTTATTATATTAAGAGATTTGAAAATTTGAAAATATCCTGTAAGCCTATCTTAGGTTAAAGTTATTTTCAAAATGTAAAACATTAATATTACTTAAAAATTAAAAAATAATTATTATATTATATTGCTTTGAAATGATCCAAATGAGATCATTAAATAAATAAATAAATTATGAGATCATAATTCCAAAATCAGTCAATATTCCAAATTTTAATGTTATTTTATTATGATTATATCAATATTATTTTATGAAATATTTGAATAATCGAGTACTTATATAATTTGGTATGGTTCAAAAATGTTAATTTAATGGTCAATCAAAAAATTTTTTACATATTTATATTTATAAATCTGGCTAAATGATAAAAAAAATAATAATTTTGTGACTATCTAATTATATAATGATATATTCGTAAGTACGAAGTGTGAACATTGCGTAACACGTAAATGTTATCATGAAATAATAAATAAATGAGTTCATTAACCGTGATAAAGTTTATGTAATTTATATAAATCATGCCTGAACAATATGGTGTGGTCCAATTTCGACTGAAGTGAAGTTTATTTTAGTCAAGATAATGATTAGGAAAAGTTTCTAACTAAAAAATAAATAAATCTTTGTATTATAAAAAAATGAAACTTAACTTTTGAGTTATTTTGCCTTATTGTTTATTCTATCATAAACAACATAGCAGGAAAAAATAGAAAAAAAGCACTTAAAAATTTCATAATTGAACGTGTTGTAACATAATAAACACTTCCATACTACTTTACTACACTTTAAGTCAATCCATAAAAACAAGCAAATGCTTTAAGTTTCGAGCCCTGGAAATAACTAATAAGGTTCAACAGCTCCAGATATCATAAAGAAAATATAAATAAACAGGCAATAGACATATTATACCTTATTTAATAATATATGCTCAAAACATAATATAATAGACTTTATCATAACTCTATCCGTGATAAAAGTACGTACCTCGTTTTACAATAATAATTAATACGTGTATGAGTTTTGAATATTTGTCGTAAAATAGCTGTGATAACGATAATTTATTTGTATAATACAGGTTTATTTTTCACGTAAGTCTAACATCCAACTATCTATCATTAATTGTAATAAATTACACTACCTTTATTATTACACAAACAAAACATTAAAAACTATGGTATTAATGGTTAATAATTCGAAATAAAAATATTATTATAAAAAGCTAATAAGTAATGACTAATGACTAAAAACATATACCAGAAGATATCATATACAATATATAAATACACACGAAGAAAAATTATTGATATACGTACTTCATAAAAAATTAAAATTATACAAATTATAGAATATACTCTAATATAAGTAATAAATTCATATCTACTAATTTACTACACATATAATTTATATTAAATAAAAATGTAATAATATAATATATTTTGCTTCCTTGTAGTGATATAAATACGTACTAACATGTATGATGTACCTAAACTTAAGAGAAAATTATATCAAATCGCTTTTATTTAAACATTGCGTCATCTATATAGTGTAGGTAATTAAGTAATTAACTGAAGTGTAATAAATTAAAATGCGTACCTAATACTACAGAACTAAATATCTAAACAAA